TTAACGACTGTGGATATTGTCTACCAGTTTTGCTACTTTGTTCAAAAGATTAAAGTATAAGTGATGCATAACAGCAAAGTATGCTGATTGTCGTCTGCCAAATATCACTCGAAAAAACTCACAAAAACTTGGCCATTCTAAGAATGCGTTTGTATATACATTTTTCTCACCAAGAGCACACACTTGTCTTTCATGCACAAAGCAATCTTCAGATGCTGAATTGAGACGAGTCATTACATAATTTAAATATGTTAAGTAAATAATTTAAATATATTATAATAAATAAGATTATAGTAATAGTGGGACGGTCCATATTTTATACGGGGATTCTTGTTAAGATATGTGCGTTATTATACATCTAATTTTATTAACACCAGCACAAAATGTACGATATTATATTATATACTATTATATTATATAATGTGTTCCTATTGTTTTTGCAATGATCGGTGATATTAAATATGAGCCGGCTTTTAATGCAAAAAAAAAAAAAACTAACGGTTTTGTCTTTCATTCTGAGCTGAAGGCGCCAACCTAATAGACAAAGACGAAAAGCGTTGTTTTTAAAATGTTTTTCCAGATTGTCTCATTTCTTCACTTTTTTTTCGGATTCTATATCCTATTAATAAGCATATATATACATATATATATGTATATACAATTACTATAAACGTTAACAAATAATGTCAGTTAATATATATATATATATATATATATACATATATATCTGTGGATGGAGAGTAATGAAATGTTCTTGGCTCAACCAAGAAGTACTTCAAGAAATAATTCTGATGTTTTGGTCATGAGGTCAGCCTAAACCAATTTAAGAATTGGGTTAGGCTGATAACTTTTCGTTCCTCTCATACATAGACACAAGGACACGTACACACACATTATATATATATATATATATATATATATATATATATATGTGTGTGTGTGTGTGTGTGTGTGTGTGTGTCTGTGTATATTAAAGTTTGATATATTTATAGGGGAAACATTTATCAATATCAGAAACCGTTTACTGATATACAGTGTGGACCTAGGAATCAACATTGCATGGTAGCGCTTAGGTTCACCTCTAAACCATGCAGTGTTGATTCTTGTGTACACAGTGTATATATATATATATATATATATATATATATATATATATATATAGTAGAGAGAGAGAGAGAGCAGTCGGTTTTGCTCGGAAAACAAGAGAAACCAAAGATTATCTTTCTCTCTCTCTCTTATATATATATATATATATATATATATATATATATACATACACTAATGGGCATGTACAGGCATACACATACAAAATACGTCTCCTTAAGCTAAGAATCTAAAAATAATGGATGAGAAATCGCTTAGAAACGCTAGGTAAAACATTTCATGGACTTACGCTCGACTCACGAACACTTAGGGAATAAATAAATAAAAAATGATAGAAAATTATGTCAATATATTTTATTCCAGTTAAAGTCGAAAGAAAAAGAAATGTCACTTTGGATGATTGATGTTCTGATACAGTAGGAGGGAAATGTCAGTTTAAGTTCTACCAATGCCCCCCCCCAAATGTTCACATCTACCTACCCGTAAAATTCAAGTGACGTAGCATATACTTCAGCCAGTTTTACAATAGTTGGTTTCCTTAATTTCATTGAACCAAATGCTCCGCTCTAAAAAAAAACGAACTTTAAATTTGATCATCGAATGATAAAGTCAAAAAAATTTATATGCCTTCCCATTTAAGTGTCATATGTTTTTCTTTACATGTGGGAGCTCCACCGATATTTAGCGGAAAGGACAAAAAAGTACCTAGTTCCTTTGACCTTGCTTTTTGGTATGTCACATGGAACGAGATATTATACATGTTAGGGTGGGACAATGAAAAACTTGTGCTAATCATAATAGAAGAGTAACTTTTTCAATAAGTTTATAAATTTCAAAACTTACAACATAAGAAGTGAATGAAAATAAAGAATAAACAAGAATTTATTACCAACTCTGCTCGTTACGAAGAAACGTGTTCAATTCGTGTTGATCCAAAGGGATAAATAAATAACATAATTTAAAATTGGACAACTTCAAAAAAAAAAAAAAATATTTCTTTTGAAGTAATACCTTCTTTTTATACATATAAAAAATCCCTCCCATTCTCGCTTCATTAATTGTTTTGATGTTGAGTAACAGGATGAGTAAACCTCTTTGATTCTACGAATGGAACAACGGTCGAAGGAATTTTATATATATATATATATATATATATATATAAAGAGGATATTACTTTCTGTTGTGACCAAGTAATGGTTAGGTTTAGCAAATAACAAAACAAGAGGTTGCAGATAAATAGTGTATTGAACAGTAAATACAATAGAAGTGTGTTACACGACTTGGGAGTGTCTGTCGTTGACCAGCATTCAGTCTATATCACCGCCAAGGGAGGCTTACTTTCCTACTACTTTATAGTAAGTGGAAGAGTTCACAATAGGATCATTAGAGGGAAGACACCACAACACTTTCAACGAAAGCTTCTTTTTTTCCTTTGGAAGTTGTTTAATATCCAGTTTTCATTTACGTCGTTTATTCATCTCTTTCGATCAACACGAATTGAACACATTTCATCGTAACGAGCAGAGTTGGTGATAAATTCTTGTTTGTGTCTATTCAGATTTGTCAATATCCTTTAATTATTGCAAACTATTTTTCTCATCTTGTTTATTGTAGATGTTAGAGACACAACGTTTCGTACCCTCTGGTTATCATCAGGTGTGGTCATCATCAGGTGTGGTCATCATCAGGTGTGGTCATCATCAGATGTGGTTATCATCAGGTGTCCATTGTCAGTTATTGTTTCATTTTTTCCCTGTGATGTCAGTTTTTGTTCGTTCCTGCGGAACAAGTGTTTCTCTACTGGATTCAAGAATTGGGCTCACGACGCCTAGATGATAGTGACACATGTTTAACGAATTCCTATATCCACGCCACAAACCCGAAGGATATCAATGGCATATTTTTGGATCCCCTATTTACAATGATAGTTAATTAATAATGGCTGTTTGTACCGCCTTTTTTCGATAATTTTTTATTTCATTTTTTTAGATGAATAATTGTCAATATATTTTAATTGTTATTTCGAATTATTATATTAAGTTTATTGACAATTACTCGCTTTATTTAACATGTCCACTTCTTCACTGTGTAATAACATTAAGCATTTTACGCGTAAAGAACATAAATTGTACAAAAAAACATCCAGAGATAACTTATACATAATAAATTGACGATACTCCATTTTCCTTTGTACTTCTGTAAACAATCATACTTAAAAAGACATTTATTGGTGAAGTTTGATGATCTACGAATTTAAATTCACGCCATTTATCAGTTTCTCATAGATGACGTTTTAAAAATAGGAGCGCTCCTAACAGCAGATATAGCATTATTATCGGTGAGAAAAAAGTCATAATCAGGCGACTTTTGGTCATCATATTCATGATTAAATTACATACAATTATCAGAACGCATACACATTTAATTCTGCTCTATGATACAGTGACATGCTAAACAGAAAAATAACATAATCTGAAGAAAAAAATGAAAAAAAATTAAACAGAATTAATATGAACAATGCAGTAAATGTACTCTTTTCAGTAAATTATTATACAATAATTACAACTGATTTAGATCGGTTGAATTTTTTATTCAGTTAGTCGGCCATTTTGTTTTTTCTTAAACCACGAGAAAACAAAATGGCCGCCTGTATAAGAGCGAAGATGATGCAATAAAAATGAGAAAAAATGTTCGCTTTAAAATATCAGAGAAGATTGTTCATCAAATAATTCTAAAGATAGAGCATATTTAAAAACTGTTGGTGCACATCTCAAAGTTTTTGGTCAGACTAATTTTTCTTCACAAATTGTTTTATATATTTATTGATGTATCATTAAAAATGTAAAAATAAAATGCTAATACAAAACAAAACACGTACTAAATAAATATTGAAATTCAACTAGAATCCATGTTTAACTTTAAAAAGCATTACATTGTCAAAAAATATTTTTCCGAAAAATTAAGACTGCCTCAAAATAAAAAAAAAGAAACAGACAATAAATAAAACGAAATAAACAATATTCTCAACAGCATCTAATTTACATATACTGAAAAACTTTCAGAAAGAAAATCGAAATATTTAAATATTGTAAAATTATATTATTAACAATGACATTTAAATTATATTATTAATAATAAAAAATTCAAACTATATTATTATTCGTAAATTTCAAACTATAGCGTTAAAAATGACATTCAAATTATATTATTAATGACATTCAAATTATATTATTAATAATGACATTAAAACTTTATTATTAATAATAACTTTCAAACTATAGTATTAATAATGATTTTCAAATTTTCTAAGAAAACTTTCTTTTCGTCGCATCCAGTTAAAAGAAAATTAATTCTTCAAAATATCATAGTATTTTAATCTTTAACATGGAGTATTTATTGGTGGGACATAACTCACATGAAACCTAAAAACAGACAAAAAGAATTGAACAATGAGAACGATGTAAAAACCCCTAAACAAACAACCAAAAACTCCAATAAATTTGATTCCAAATGACCTAAAATGGTTTCATTAATGAAGAGCTACAATAAGAAATGCATTTAAAATACTGCCTAAAATCAAAGCACAAAAAGCACGAAGGATATTTTGACCGTTTGTAATTAAGCTGACCTTTGAATTAAATTGTACTTCCCTCTCTATTGGCTCTAAATGCCTTTTAAAGACTGGATGAACCTTGTGATCAAAGTCTGGGATTGTTATGCTCTCAACTTTATTCTGTTTGCTGTTTTTTGTTCGATTGAAATACAAGTAACGGTAACGATCGCTTTTATAATTGTCTGCGTGACTTAAGTAATACGGAAGTCCTCCGAGCGCTTGCATTAAGAATGTGTCCTTTGTAGTTGTACGCTCCAAATCGAAGTATCCAGTTTTTCCGTACACCATTGATAATTGATCAGTAGTAGCGTTGTAATTGATTGTTATGTTGCTAAACATATGATTCTGGTATTTCCCCGCGTACAGCTTAAGATTAGGTTTGTTTTCGTCTTTGGCGTGCTTTTCGTCGCTTGAATGACCTAAAGAACGAAAAAAATCGTACATAATATTAATTCGATATCAATGCAAATAAATTTACTGCCCTAGGAAAAATAACTTACAGGGAGAATCAAAAATAGCATGTGGTTTTTTTTTTTTTTCTTTCTTTTTTTTTTTACAAGAGCCAGTCGATTGTTCGCCATTTGTATTACAGTGTATAAGAAGACAAATTAATGAAAAACATGTTTGTCTAACCATTTATTCACGGGAAAATTATTAAGGAACCAACAAAAACAAAAATAAAACGGAAAAGTTCATTAAAATTCAACGACCCCCGGCATTTTAAAACTAATTTTGGCTTTTTTTGGTGTGAGTATACATGTGCCGATTTTTGTAAATACGGCATACACGGTATTATCAGAAAATAGAACATGCTAAATAATAATAATAATAAATTTAAAATTTATTGGTAATTTTCTAAAATTTCTGAACAAGCGTCTTTGTAAGTAACACTATAAAGCCAAAATGTCTAAAATCCAATAAAATATTAGACTGTTTAAAATATTTTCTTATTTTTTAAAGATTACTGGGTAGTTAAAAAAATAAAATAAACTAAAATAAAAAAAGGCGTTCACGTTGTACTCGTCCGGTTTCAGGTTTGCTTTCAATTCTAATCCTCTTACTTAAATTTCCCAAACAGCATCTATTAAAATATAGAATTAGTTTGTGTTGACAGATCTATCAATATGAACGAATTTATTGATTTTATAACTAGAAAAAAAAAAGAGATTACAATTCAGTTTGAAAGATACTAAAGTGTTATGAATATTAAATTTAATATATTAACTTGAAATTAAAACTAAAATTAAAGCTTCAAATAAGATTTTTCATTTTTTGAAAATGCATTTTAAACTTAGGAATTGCTTTTTTTTTCGGAAGTGCCTAAATAAAATATAATATACATTATAGACCAAAAGATTTATAAAATCAACTTTCAACTTTAACATTGTTTCATTTTTTTACTCACACTCGACTGGAATTTTTATGAATTATTTTGAACATAAATAATTAGGTGCCCGGAATAAGTCGTAGTGTCAAAAGGAAGGTTTTTACCATGACACAGTTTATTTATTTATTTTTTTTAAGCATTTCACCCCAAGCAAGGCGGGAAGCCACTAGGACGCAAGGGGTTACAGAAAATTTAGAGCAAGATCAGATAAGAGTGATAGAAGAAAGGATGAGGGTAGTGGATAGATCAAGGCAACTGGAGATGTCGATTGACATTACACTTGAATAGCTGGAGATTATAGCTCACAGGGAAACAGGAATAGGGAAGGGAGTTCCACAGGCGAGAGGTGCGAGACATGAAGCTATTAGAGTAGAAGAGACGGCTACATTTAGGAGTTTTGACAGTGAAGGGGTGAGAGCGGGATGCCAGCCTCGTAAGGCGCTGGAACTCATGACGTCTGGGAACCAGCGAATGCAGCTCCTCGGAAAAATTTCCATGAAAGTATTTGTAGAACAGACAGAGGGAGGCGACGGCGCGTCTGTGAGAAAGTGACTGTAGACGAGACGCCAGGGCAAGCCCAACTACATTGCATATCCGCCTCTGGAGCCTATCAAGAACCCCGAGGCAAACAGAAGGGGCACCAGACCATATATGGCAGCAACACTTCATGCAAGGGCGAATTGTTCTGGAGGATCGACTCCGGGGAGAAAAACTTCCTGGCGCGGCTCAGGGAGCCAACTTTCCTTGCAGTGGACGAGGCAATTGACTCAATGTATTTATTCCATCTCAGGTCAGCAGTCAACGTGAGACCGAGAAGCCGCAGAGAGTTGCTCTCGAGAAGTTAAGCGTCAGACATTCTAATTGAGGGAAGGGAAGGATCTCTGTGGTGATTAATAGAGAGCAGTTTTATCTTAGAAGCGTTGAAGTTGACCAGCCAATTCATGCCCCAGTTCACAATCGATTGTAGGTCCTTTTCGAGACGCACGGCCAGGTGAGTTTTGTCAGCGAGACGAGATTTGTTTTTGAGGCAGGAATAAATTGTGGTGTCATCCGCGTAGATGCCAACTTGGGAAGTTATGGCGTCAGGAAGGTCATTTATGTAGATAAGGAATAGAGTGGGGCCTAGGATGGAGCCTTGAGGAACACCTGCGTTCGTGGGATAGGAACTGGAGGAGAATCCGTTGAGAACGACCTTCAATTCACGGTTTGACAGGAATGATTGTATTAGGTTATATAATCGACCCGTAATGCCATAACCCTGGAGCTTGCGAAGAAGGCCGGCATGCCAAACCTATCAAATGCTTTGGAGATGTCTAGTGCCACGGCTCGGGCTTCCCCGTTATTTTGGAGAGCTCGGTAGACTGTTTCAGTGATGGCCGTAAGCACATCGGCTGTAGATCGGGCAAAGCGGAAACCATATTGCTTGTCTGAGAGCAGATTATGGGATGTGAGGAAACCGTTTCTGTTTAAAATAAGCACATTTTAAACCACATTGATTAGAGCTTCGAAGACTTTGCTGAAGAGGGGAAGGAGACTGATATGACGGTAGTTGGAAGGATCAGAGGGGTCGCCGGAGTTCTTGAAGACAGGAACGATCGAAGAGGACTTCCAGCAGTCAGGAAAACAAGATTCCTTGAGGCAGTAGTTGTATAGTTTCGAAAGGGCGGGCGCCAGTTCAGGCGCGCATTTCTTCAAGACAATGGCTGGTATGCCGTCTCCACCACTAGCTTTGTTGGGATTTAAATTAGAGATAACGCCCAGTACCAAAAATGGGGTTATGTTTAACCCACTCAATATGGCCTCAGTTCTAAGAAGGAAGTCGGGTATGGGTACACCAGAAGAGTCGAGCGTCGAGTTGAATGAAAATTTCCAAGCAAAGCATTCAGCCTTGTCGGTAGAGGAGGTCAGGACTTCGAACTGGTTGAATAAAGGAGGTATAGAGGGTTTGCAATTGTTCAATACGCTCTTGCAGAGACGCCAATAATCTTTGGAGCCAAATTTGCGAGATGCAATACGTTCCTTCATTCGAGCCGCAAATAGTGACTTAGCATCGTTGAGGACACGCTTACATTCGTTACGGCCGGAGGCAAAGAGACGTCTATTGCAGTCAGACATGTCGCTACGGTATAGGTGGAAGTAGTGGTTCCTATGGGCGATGGCAGCTGAGCAAGCAGCCGAGAACCAGGGGGAGGAGCGCGACTTGACCCTATATTTCCTTGATGAGATGAAAGCGTCGATTCCAGCTTGAACCCAGGAAGACACCTCAGAAGCACATTCTTGGACGGGGAGCTTAAAGACTCCATCCCAGGGGACATAGCGGAGGAAATCACGGAACGCGTCCCAGTCAGCTCGTTGATAGTATTAACTACCTTCACTCTTCGGTGACGTTTATTGTTTTAATAAGCGATTATTAGAATTGTAATAAAACCTTAACATATGATGAAAGTGAATTTATTCATTTTTTTGTTCTCGAAAATTTACAACAAAAATATTAAACACTATTTATTCATTAGATTGTTTATTTACAAGAATAATTTTAAATTTACAACATTCTAAAACTACAATTAGAACTAATGCAATGTTTATAATCTACCAATTTATAAATAAATAAATGTGAAAACAAATTTTTATTCATAAATTTATAAACATTTAATAAATTATTAAAATATGTGAACCAACTATAAGGCAATAATTTACCATTTTATGAAGTTTGAATCAATTGGCAATTAGCCGATGTTTTGCCAACCATTCCAATAAACAAAGAAAGAGCGTAAATAAACAATTTAATAAATAAATAGAGTCTATTATATTTGTCAATTCTCAAGAACAAAGAAAATGTATAAATTCACTTTCATATGTTTAGGTTTTATCACAATTCTAATTATCGCCTTTTATAACAATAAGTTACCAAAGAATGACGGTATTTAAAAAAGCGGTGTCATGAGAAAAGCCGTTCTTTTTGACATTCTTTCTTTTTGAGGACACGTTTATCCATGTTTGCCGAATAATTTATTTTAATTGACACGTCTCTGCTCAATAGCATTGTCATAGAATGAGGTTAAAAGGACAAATTTCATTTTTTGTTTAATTTCTCAGTTTCAGTGAAAATGTGAGGAGGCTAAAGCCATCCCAGCTTCCTATAGCTCCACGAATGGATGTGGTTTAAAATGTGCTTATTTTAAACAGAAACGGTTTCCTTTTGGCAAAGAGAACAGGGAAACATGAGATTAAGTGAATAAAAACGATTTACCCTTTTGCCAAATGTGTGGTGTGAAGTGTGGTCGACGAAGATAGGCGTTGCGTTCCATGTCAGCCATTAAGTTGTCCATAACTTGACAAACATTAGTGTAATTGATCCAACTTGTGTTGTTCAAAGCTAAATCCAGAACAAAAGCACTGATCAAGGTTTTAATCACCATTGCCTCGTTTCCACCAGTACCGGTCATCGCGAGAAAAGCGCCCACATGCTGGTCAGGTAACATGGAGATTATAGCCTCGTAGCCAGGGAGGGAGCCTCCGTGTGTCAGCAGCTTATAGCCTGTTACATAAATATAAAAAAATCAGAAAAAATGTATTTAGAATTAGATTGAATAACAATATTTCAGGATATATATATATATATATATATATATATATATATATATATATATATATATATATATGTGTGTGTGTGTGTAAACATTTCAGATAGATTATATCTGTAAAAGGACAATATGAATAAAGACAAAATTTCTTTTTCTAAAACATTACTAAACTCACTTTCGTTTATTAGACATTGCATTGTGTTATTTTGTGTCCCCCATAACTTACCTAACTTTTCAGCTAACCTGATGAATATTTACAAGAGTTCATATACCTAAAAAAAACAATAAAATTTTTACACTTGTATATAAAGGTTGCAAAATAAAATACTCGCATTTGCCTTGATAAAGTCCCCTAGAATATGAAACGCGTTAGCTAAGATAAGTTTTCCTTTTATCTTATATATATATATATATATATATATATATATATATATATAAAAAAGAAAGACAAATGGAAAACTTATCTTTTCCATTACCTTTCCATAGGAATTTTACCGTTTTGTATATTTTACCATTCCAAGAGATTCCCATGGAAGTATATCGACACCATAGAACTATATATATATATATATATATATATATATATATATATATATATATATAAAAAAGGCACGGTGGAGTAATGGATATCGGCTTGGATTGAGGAATCGCAGAGCCGAGTTTGAATCCATTACATCCACTTACGTGCTAATACCCTTGGGAAAGGTGTGAATCCTCTTCTTCTCCCTCCAGCTATGGGTAAAATAGCAGGACAGACTGGCTTCTATAGCCTTGGATGGCAACTGGTCTAGGAGAAGGACAACTCTGAATTCAAAACCTGAGGGGGGTTGTTTGGGAACCTTGTGGCACGTAGTGCACCAGGTTTCTGTATTCGGCCCTTCAAAAAGTGTGGATGGTCCTGCACGAAACCTTCACCACTATAATCGAATCTCATGTGCCGGTGTCGGGCTGTCAGTTTCCTGGAAACTGATCTGCTTGACCCTCATACGTCGAACCCGACGGGAGAATCGATTTTTTTTCGATATATATATATATATATATATATATGAGGGTCGTTCAAAAAGTTCTAGACCTCATCTATACATACTGTGATAAAGATTACCGGTCCTTTCTGGTCCTTTTCTGTTTATCTATCTATCTATCTATCTATCTATCTATCTATCTATCTATCTAGGTTTCGACGTACATGACGCTGACAGTAGTGACCAGACAACCAACATTATTTATAATAATTGAACAGTATTTCAGCGTTCTGGTTCTGCTGACCGTGTTCAGAAATTAAAAAAAAGATACTATATATACATAAGAAAATCTACATATTCAGTTAAGAAAAAAAAAAAAAAAAAAAGCCAAAAAACCAACACACATTGATAATGGCTAAAAGATTATCCGAAAACGCTTGAATCCATAGAACATTTGCACAGTTTTTACACACTATATGTTCAGGAAAGAAAATAATTGTCCGAATGCAAAAAAAAAAAAAAAATATAATAAAAATGATAATCGCAGTGTCTTGTCAGATGTCCTCAATGAAACTTGTATAAAAAAGGGATTGTTGCTCAAATACACAATTATATATGTATCTAATATATGTATTGTATGTGAACGGATATATATATATATATATATATATATATATATATATATATATATATATATATATATATACACACTGTCATCCACAGACAGACTGTTTCGCTGTATCACAGCTCCTCAGTGTAGCTAGATGTCGGATTGCTTCAAGCCGGGATCGAAACCCGACTAATTTGACATCAGTCAGATATCTTACCCCTGGGGCATCGTCGCACGGCGAAAAGGAAGGAATTTTAACGTTTTCTATACGAAATACGCCAGCGGCTCGGAGAACTCAATCATATCAGAAACTCTTTCTATATATATATATATATATATATATATATATATATATATATAATGAATGCGCAGACGGGTTTATCACACTGTTTAAAAACAGGTCGTCTACTCAAACACGTGTATCCGCCACAATGTAGCTTGTACTTTTCATAGAGCACACAAATATTACTGATTTTAGGCAGAAGCGTCGGTGAGCCACACTTTGATCATATGGAGAGCGCACAGAGACTCACTGGTCCCAGGCCGAGGAGCGACGTTTGATTCTCGATGATAAATTTTGATTCATATGTAACTAATATTTCATTTTTGAAGGGGAAAATAAATAAGCTTTTTTTCTTACCTCGATACGATCCAATCTCCCATCCCATGCCATATCCTTCTCGAGCGAAAGAGACGGTGACTGCCGGCTGCAGGAATCGTTCTCGAATAAGATCATAGGACTCGGTGAAGCGGTCCATATCCAACGTGAATAATCTCTTTAGGGATTCTTGCGAGATGATCTGTTTTCTTCTGCTTGTGCTAACTCCGTTCTTGAGATTCATAAGGAGCCACTTGCTCATGTCATTGGCTGTTGAGCAGAGTCCATTTGCTGCCCTTGTCAGTTTATAACCCCTGTACGGATAATAAATACAAAGATATTTATGAAAACTAGTCCTTAAAAAAAGAAAATTCATCCAATGATGAACATTTTTCGATAAAATCAAATTGGCAGCTAATCTCGAAAATGACGTTCAATCTGATTCTCTTACCTCATTGACTGTATGGAAACTGGGTATTGTCTTTTGTTTATTTTCAAACTTGGTGTAGCAAGGTTTTCTTTACTTGGATGAAGTTCGTGCAGGAACGTGGTCGAAGTCATTCCTAAAGGTTTCAGGATATGTTCGGACAAAAGTTCTTCGTAGGATTTGCCTCCAAGTTTTTCGGCTACTTTCTCTGCTATGAAAAACAGCAAATCACTGTGGAAAACTCTCTCTCGGAAAATGAAGGCTTCTGGAGCGTGCACCAAGTGACTAAAACGAGTAGAAACGACAGAATTAAAGAAATACAACATAAATATTGATAATAATAATATTTTTTTTACTTACCACTTCAAGGCCGTGCTCGTCGCCATGTTCTTTACCAGATCGAAACCGTTACTGCATTTGCTTCCTTTTTTTTTTTTTTTTTGGAAGAACGTATATTGCTGGTGAACAGGAAGCTATCCGTGATTGGGCTATAAATTGTCAAGAGGAGTATCAATGTTTGATTAAAAGAAAATTGTAGCTGACGGATGGCACACAAGTCTATACCCGATCAGTATCGGCTGTGTCACCATGGAGAGGGGGCTATGATGTTGAAAGACCTGAAACCCCTAATGAACTTCGGTTAGAAACATCACTGATGATATGTGCCAAAGTATCCAACAGATGTATTTTACGAAAAATATTGATGACAATAATAAGATTACTCATTTATATTAGGTGTGTAGACATTCTGTTTATTTTTAAACATTATTTTATTTCGCCTACCGGTACATTTTATCTCTAATAAGTTTTTTCGAGTATTCAGGCCGGTAGATGAAATTAGGTGTGTACAAAAGTTTTTTGTATCGAACACGGTTTTTTCACTCTCTAAATATCTAAGTCTTTAGTTTTTGCTCTCGAATTTTCACTCTCTAATTGACTCACTCTAATTTTCACTACCTAAATTTTCACTCTCTAATTGTCGCTCTCTAATTTTCACTCTCTAAATTTTCACTCCCTAATTGTCGCTCTCTAATTTTCACTCTCTAAATTTTCACTCTCTAATTGTCGCTCTCTGATTTTTACTCTCTAATTTTCACTCTAAATTTTCAATCTTTAATTTTCGATCTCTAATTTTCACTCTGTAATTTTCGATCTCTAATTTTCACTCTCTAAATTTTCACTCTCTAATTGTCGCTCTCTGATTTTTACTCTCTAATTTTCACTCTAAATTTTCAATCTTTAATTTTCGCTCTCTAATTTTCACTCTGTAATTTTCGATCTCTAATTTTCACTCTCTAAATTTTCACTCTCTAATATTCACTCTCTAATTTTCGATCTCTAATTTTCACTCTCTAAATTTTTATTCTCAAATTTTTGCTCTTTAATTTTCACTTTCTAATTTTACTCTCCAATTGTTGCTCTCTAATTTTCACTCTCTATTTGTCACTCTCTAATTTTCGCATTTTCATTCTTTAATTGTCGCTCTCTAATTTTCACTCACTAATTGCTGCTCTCTAATATTCAGAAGAAAGCGCTGGGAACTTTTGTACATATCTAAAAAATACAAAACTAAAAAAGAGCATAGTTGATAACTAAAGTAATGAAAAGTTGAAAGATGAGTACTCAATATTGTTCTGACAACTCGACTCCTTCGTTCCTTGTTATGACAACGTTACAGCCGATTCATATTCCGGTCTTCGTCAAGCATATTAATCCAGAAGAAAAACCACATTCCTTCATAGACAGAAGCCGGTAGATAGATAGATAGATAGATAGATAGATAGATAGATAGAAATTAAGACAATGAAAAATAATTATAGAAAGAGAATAAGAAATAGAGAGAGAGAGAAAGAAAGAAAAAAGAGAAAGAAATATAGAAAGTGAGAATGAAAGAAAGAAAGAAAGAAAGAAAGAAAGAGAGAGAAAGAATGAGAGAGAGAGAGAAAAAGAAAGACAAAAAAGAGACGGAGAGAAAGAAAGAAATAGAGAGAGAGAAAGAGAAAGAAAGAGGGAGAGATAGAAAGAACGAGAGAGAGAGAGAGAGAGAGGGGGGGGGAATACTACAACCGACAACCTATTTGTAACGAACTAATACACCAGAAATAAAAAATCCCGCTTCTCCTGTTCCTATGAATGCCAGACTCATCCATTAAAGAAAAAAGAGGTTCTCTTCGTTCGACAGAATGGAACATATTCACAAAGCCATTTTACAAGCAACCTCAAGTGCGACCATATGAAGCAGCTGTCGAGCATAAGCCGCAGCTTGCTTTGTGAGGGAAAATAGTTTTGTGTTATCCGCCATTGCTAATCGTCGGTGTTCAAACCCAAATAAAATCCTGAGATTTTTTCATGCTGATTTTATAGGTAAGTTTGTCATCCATATTTGGACTATTGGCTTAACACAGTCTTCGTACAAATGTTCAACATTTTGGCCATTTTTTAATCTAGAGACCCATACTCATGTTCTAAAATATGCATTGACGTGTACTTGTCCAAATAGAGAGATACTGCTTAGGAGACGGATTTACAAGAACTAAGCTTATGTTTTAATTTTTAATCTAACATGGAGAGAGAGAGAGAGTGGGGACGAAGAAAGAGAACGAAAGAGAGAAAGAAAATTAGAAAGAAAGAAAAAAGAAAGAGACAGAAAAGAAAGAAAGAGGGAAAGAAAAAGAGAGAGTAAAAGAAGAAAGAAAGAAAGAAAGAAAGAGAGAAAGAAAGCAAGAGAGAGATAGAAAGAAAGTGAGAGAGGAGGCAAGAGAAGGAGAGAGAAAGAGGGAGAGAAAGAGAGAGACAGAGAAAGAGAGAGAAATCAAAAACCTATTTATAACGAACCATTTTTTTTGGGGGGGAGGGAAAGCCAATCAGAAGCAGAGATGAATATGTTATATTATTATGTTATGCCTGTAGACCCCCACCGTGGAGTATAGGGCCACAGCCTCACTACTAGGTGTCGTTGCTGTGATTTTCGTAATAATTATTTTTACAGGGTAAAGTTTCTGGCTCCACGCCCAACTGGTTTGTATTCAAAATAAATAGAGAAGAAAATTGAAACATTCCACTATATAACGTAGGACCTTTTAAGAGTGGTATCCATGAATACGTTGAGAGAGCACCAAAAATTATTAAGTTCCTCGGTCTCATGCCTTAAGTAAGCCATAGGAAAGAGCTTATTCCACATATTTAGAATTATCTATTCCATATTCTGAATTTTTTTAATGATGGATTCAAGCTGTAATCACTACTTAATGCCACCAACTCAGGCCATTACAGCCTTGCCACTTCCACAGGGTTGACTCATCCTCATTCCCTACGTACTTCCTTTAGTAAGAAGGGAGTTTCACTCCGAAAGTTTTTCCAAAGAGTCACTACTTTGAGGAGCAGATTCTCAAATGGATGCTTCCTCGAACACTATAATCTCAATCTCTTCAAGTCTAGGGTCAATCAGTATCTATCCGCTATATCCTAGTAATCAGTATTCCTTCTGTTTACGTTCATATTTCACACCTCATTCAGTAACCCTCTACTTTGGGTTCTCTTAGGCTTTGTATTGTGTGAACTTTAGTTAAAAAATACAGATCCCAGTTTCTGTTTTAGAAAGGTTTATCATAAATGTTATGGTCCGGGTTCCTTGTACCACGGTGATAGTCCAAGGTAGAACCAATAAAGAAGAACTCGAACACAGGTATGGAATAACACAGATATATTACAAACAGGAATATATACAGAGAAGTAGAAGTGTTAGTACGAACAATCAGGTTTAGTAGAGAGAACAATGTAGTCTCGACCAGTATCACTGTTCCAATGTCTTGTAGTAATTGTCTGAACGCGACTCTGTTTCGGACTGCCTCTGACTCGACTCTTGACTCGACTTGAACTACCGACTGACTCAACTTGAACTACTGACTCTACTGACTCACTCTCGCCTACTGACAATATTCAGTCACCCCCCCACGAGGGTGTCATGTGGCACAAGGCCTTTTTAACGTGGGCATTCCCGAGCCATTAGGCTCGGCCAAAAAAATAGCCCATTTGAACCCGTATACACGGGTTCAGGGCCAATTTACCTCCCCGAAGGAGACTCCGCCCTTCGGCGTAGCCTCCTTCGGGTTCCTCCCTCCCGTAGGAAGAGAGTTTAACCGAACAGTCCGTAGTGAACTACGGACAATATTCAGTCACCCCCACGAGGGTGTCATGTGGCACAAGGCCTTTTAACGTGGGCATTCCCTGAGCCATTAGGCATTCCCATTTGAGCCATTAGGCTCGGCCTCCTTCGGGTTCCTCCCGCCCGTAGGAAGAGAGTTTTCCGAACAGTCCGTAGTGAACATTTGAACCCGTATAACGTGGGTTCTGGGCCATCGGCCCTCCCCATTTGAAGGAGAAACGGGTTCCCGCCCTTCCCGCGTAGCCCGCCCTTCGGGTTCCTCCTCCCTCCCCGTAGGAAGAGAGTTTAACCGAACAGTCCGTAGTGAACTACGGACTGACTGCCTACTCCTGAGGCGCAGTATTTATTAAGTATGGAATAGTCCATTATTATTATTATTATGGGTAAGGTCCCATAACAATAAGCCACACTTAATAAAGAATGTTGATTTTTTTGATTCAGAATAATTCTTATACAAACTATGAACAAACACTATGCTAAATTGTTTTTTGTAACCAATTAGTACACATCAGGCGCCAATCTTCTTCTTCTTCTTTGTGCTGTGTCCTTTCAGGACCTGGGTGATCATGACTCTGATACAACTTCATCTTCTTTGTAGCCCTTAGCACAGTTTGTCTTTTTGCTCGTTTTCCCAATCCCTGTTCTGGCAACCATTTATACAAGCTCGTTAAGCAGGTTAAGCAACGATTTCCGGTTGTGCACTGTTTTCTTCTGTCTCTCTTGCCTTCAATATATCTCGTGAGTGTTAGCATTCTTATAAATTAGCGCTCAGAATATTGACTTTGCACATTCTTGGATGAATGGATGTTGGGTAAAGTAGCGGCTATCGACGCCGAAAATATAATTAGTGAGCCGAGTTCAAATGCCAGCCGAGGCCGCTGCATTCACTTTCGTGCAAATGACTTTTGGAGTAGTATGAATTAATCTCTCTCACTCCAAGTTATGGGTTAAATAGTAGAGTAGACTTGGTTCTATAATCTAGGTTAGCAATCAGTACAGAACAATAATTCTGGATTCAAAACTTGTTGAGCATGGGGCTAACAATTCCAATACGTAAAAACCTTGCTACAAAATAATCTCGCGGGCTATGGTTCTATTATGCACATGGGGAGGGGAATCTACAAGACTCGCATACATACACAAATGAAAGTTATAACATAAGTTCATTTTGGATGTGTGTAATTACTAAAATCCGAAAAACATTTTTTTTGTTTACTGTAGACGTATATCTGGAACTTATCCTTCTCAGTGCAGCGAGGGTGTACTGTTAGGAAACGGAGCTCCAGTTCCCAGGATAGATCTGTTTTTTGAGGAAGTCGTTGGGGGGGGCTTAATCTTAAAAGCATTTATTAAATTTAGTTGAAATCCGACCTTCAGTGTAAAGCAACTTGTGGGGATTGAACGCTCGACACACTGGTAGCTGCTTGCTAGACGAGCTTGTTAACTGCTGTTTCACAGTGAAGCTACAAGGGACAGGAAGCTGTGGAAAGCCATTATCCCCTCCGTCATGACAGGACGTGGAACATGAAGAAGTAATGGTCACTTACATTATTTTGTTAAAATACCATAGTGTGGTATTCTACATGTTCACACGCGCATTTGTGGAAATGCTGCTAGTGCTACTAAGTCCGCTCAGTTTTATTTTACACAAAGCCAAAAAGGCGGAGCACACAGTGAGGATCAAATTCATTGCAGCAGTAATCCTCTGTTCGAGTAGCTCGTTAAATGCTTCTTCGCAGGGAGGCGCTCGACAAGTTCATACTTATTTTAAAAAAAAGGTTATCTTCTCGAAAAACAGAAAGGGAAAGAGTGGGGGGAATGAATAAGTGGATGTCATTTTCAGTAATGTTGCTATATCACATATAATCTGCTTTTTTTTTCTTTATCATTGCAGAAAACCCGGGAAACCCATTTAGATTTTATGGTTCGTTGTGTAAACAAGACCGCAGTTTCAAGCAGAAAAAGAACATGTCACTCGAGTGAGCGGTCTGTGCCATAAGAAAACGTCATATGAAATTGTTTTATGTTGTGTCTCTCCTGAAATTTCGTGCGAAGGAGACACACCGAATTGTTTTGCGTAAATGGGACACCCCTAAATGTTTCGTGTAAGTGGGACACCCATCGAAATGTTACAACGTTTATACTGTACAGCAGCGTTTCTCAAGTTCTTTTTACCTTTTTGGGGCCTTTGAAATAGTTTTGTCTTGGGGAACCAATGCATAAAGATGATTATATACAATGATTAATATCTTTTATATTTTTATCATAATTCACATGATAAACATAATGCAGGGTGCGATGGGTAAATCGTCGGCAGTTTATATTTTTAATTTCGCGCCTGCGTGTTGTTTGTTTTTGTTTGTTTTTGTTGACTGCACAGTACAGTAAGGTCAGTTGGGCACCGTTTGTGCGAAAAAGAGAACCATGAAACAATTCACTCCACCAGAAATTTGGAAACGGCATACTGTACTGCTTGGTATTCGCGCCGGAAGTGTTCGGGTGTCAATTTGAGGACAGTGCAGAGGATTCGGAAGGAGATGGTTGAGTCTAATGGTGATTACGAAGTACGTCACGGAAAACTCACTCTGATCGTTCTGATAAGAAAAGAAGGCTTTCTTGTTGGTGAAGGCTTAAGCTTTCTTGCTGGTGAAGGCTTCAGCTTCAACACGGAGGCCTACATCAAGTTCCTTGAGGAGGTAGTGCTGCCCTGGGTCAAGAGGGTGGCTGCTGGAATATCCTATGTCTGGCAATAGGACTCTGCACCATGCTACACAAGCAGGAGAACCCAGTCATGGCAGTCAGACAATTTCTGCGACCACATTACACTTTACATCTGGCCACCTAACTCCCCAAACTGCAAACCCTTTGTCTAATATGTGTGAGGCGCAGATGAGCGAGAGACCAAGAAAACTCCTTGTAACATCAAAGGTGAATTTAAGGCAAGAATTATGGCAGTATTCACCAACTTAAAAAAGGAGACCGTTCAGAAGAGCTGCAGGAGATTCCGATGTCGTCTGGAGGCCGTGGTTGAAGTAAATGACGATTTTATTGAGTAAATTTAATCTTTAGTATATGGGCATTCGTCTTGAACTCGATTGAGTCACTCAATGATACACAAATCCGCCATGTATAGGTACTGCCCACTAACCAGTGAAGGCGATTTCACACGGACTCCATATAGACATCGCTAAATACATCCCCTATGATTATTATAACTTTTAATAATATAAGATATTGAAACCTTTATTATAATAACCAAAGATTTTCCCTTCTGCCTTCTTCAGGTGTCTCTCGATCCGGGTAACCAAACTTCAAACTGAACTCTTTATTTAATCTAAGGAAGTAGATTGTTCCTGTTCCACTGTTCATATCTCAGGATATTTCGTCTACATAACGGAATAGTAACAAATCAGCTCCCGTAAATTGAATAAGGGATTCAGTTCGAAATTCCCTGAAGGTTACCCGGATTGACAGACTCCTGAAGAAGACCGGAGGGCACAATAGTCAAGACGTGATCGTTGCAACACAGATGAGGACATCAGTCCGACTGTAAATAATGATAAATCCCCATCCCAGAAATTCAGACAAACAATGTGTGTGGCATTTCTACTACGGCACCAGAAAATTTGAGTCAATGTAATGGATTCTTATGACGACTTAGAAAATATTATACATACAAAATATATATATGGATATACATCACGTTTTATACGAGTGGGTGCTGAAGATTCTTCTGCCCAACAGGGGAAAGTCTTCCCTGTAAAATTTTAATGTTTGGTCATTTGGTCAGTTTTTGGGAAGTTGGTCAGGCCAAGAGATCTTCAGCTTTTTTTTTTTTTTTTTTTTTTTTTTTTTTTTAAAATATGTGAATCACCGTACAGATATATCTATGTATGTTTCTCAAACTGTCGCGTGTTTGTTCCTCACCGATTGCTTTATGAATGTGACTTCGTGCGGGAAAAATAAACAGTTCCCTGTCCCGCTACAGTAAGTAC